AACAAAATGCATTCCAAACCCCTACGACCCTACCAAGTACAACCCCTACGGTATTACGTTGGTAGGGTGTCAGATTACTGGATTGGCTCAATGATCGTCGAGAAAAAAATACCCTAAAATGAATCAATATAATGATAAGAGCATTTTCTGATCCAATACAACTTATTACGTTAACGGAGACAATTGAAAAAAAAAACATGGAGAAAACAAAACAAAAAGCTTCTTTTAATCATCTAACCGATTGTTCCATGATGAAAAGAGAGATGTTGAAAAAATTCATTCCTCCCTTCAATTCAAATTTGTGGTTTGAGCAAACCATCTGATAGTTGACACCTGTTGGCTCTAATCAATGAAGAGGTTCGTCATGTAGGTACTTCAGGAGAAGATTAGATAAGGCGAGGAGTAGGTTCCACATTAGTCTTATTATTATTTCATTTGCTTTATCCAATTACAAGTGTTAACTGTTAATTAAATAAAATTGAAAAATAGAAAACATAACAAAGGATAAAAATGGAAAATGAAAATCAAGTTTTAAAATAAAAAATATGATAAAGGGTAAAAATGGAAAGTAAAAATTAAGCTTTTTGATGAAACATTGTCACCATCCTCATTTTTATAAATGGTGCAGAGATTATCCAATTACAAGTGTTAATAGTTAACCGTTAATTAAATAAAATTGGAAAAATAAAATAATAATATAAAGGGTAAAAATGGAAAGTGAATATAAGATTTAAAATATAAAACATGATAAGGGTAAAAATGGAAAGTAAAAAATCAGGCTTTTTGACAAAATGTTATCACCATCCTCATTTTTACAAATGGTTAACCGTTAATTAAATAAAATTGGAAAAATAAAAACATAATAATATAAAGGGTAAAAACGTAAAGTGAAAATAAGCTTTAAAATACAAAACATGATAAGGGTACAAATGGAAAATAAAAAGTCAGGCTTTTTGACGAAACATCTTCATTTTTATAAATGGTTAACCATTAATTAAATAAAATTAGAAAAATAAAAACATAATAATATAAAGGGTAAAAACGAAAAGTGAAAATAAACTTTAAAATACAAAACATGATAAGGGTAAAATTGGAAAGTAGTATATATATATATATACTTTAAAAAGCACGAATGACCTTAAGAATGTTTTTGGAATTTTCTAAAGACAGAATTTACCCCTCTCTATTTAAATTTATTGATAAAGAATGAGGGCAAATAGGGTAATTGGTTCTTGATATTAAATGAGTTGAAAAGAGGTAATTTAAAGATATTCAACTCATTCAATTCTCTCTCATTAAATCCAACATTTAAGTTATTAACTTGCATTCATATTCATTGAATCATGTATTTAAGTCATTTTTGTTTCTTCTCATCATTAAGTTCTATTAATTAAATCCATACTTAATAAATTAATAATTCCAATAACATAAAAACTTATACTTTTAAAATCTACCTATCAAAAATAGTGTTTTCATCTTTGTGGTGGTAAGAAATTAAATCATTTTGTATCAAATGGGTTAATCCATGTTGCCACGACTAAATAATAAAATTAAAAAATAGATAAAATAAAAAAATAGAAATTAAAAAAAAGTATTTTTAACATACATATTAAACAATAATAAGTATGATAAATAAGAAATGTTTTTATTAATGATAGAAATGGAATGTAAAATTTAAAAACAATTGGAAATAAAAATGTTTTCCTATTCTCTCTCATTAAATCCTATATTTAAGATATATTTTTCTCATCATTAAATTTTTGTAATTAAATCCATAATATTAATTTTAATAGTATAAAAATAAATATTTTGAAAAGTAATTTTAAAACAAAACCATTTTTCTCCCTCCCGGTGGTGGGCAAGCAATTCAGCTATTTGTGGTCAAATGGATTAATAAATAATGCTATAATTAAATAATAAAAATTAAATTAAATAACTATGAAATGTAAGAAGTATTTTTATTAATGATAAAAATGGAATGCCAAATTCAAAATCTACCTAGAAATTAAATGATGTCATAGTCAAATAATAAAATTTTTAATAATAAAAAATACAAAGAATCACAAAAATAAAAAATAAAAAAAGATGGAGAAAATTTTGGGCACATATCTAATGTTATATATTTATAAAAAATAAAATATTGGGTTCATGTCTAATATTGTGCATTCATTATATTAAACAAATATAAGTTTTATACATAAGATGATAAGAAATAATTTTATCAATGTTTAAAAAGCATGAATGGCCACAAGAATATTCTGGAATTTTCTAAGGAAAAAATTTAGTCCTTTATATTTAAATTTGTTGATAAAAAAATGAGGGCAAATGGGGTAATTGATTCTTGATATTAAATGTGTTGAAAAGAGGTAATTTAAAGATATTCAATTCATTCAATTCTCTGTCATTAAAACCAACATTTAAGTTATTAACTTGCATTCATGTTCATTGAATCATATATTTAAGTCATTTTTGTTTGTTCTCACCATTAAGTTCTATTAATTAAATCCATACTTAATAAATTAATAATTCCAAATTTTCAATAGCAAAAAAGCTTATACTTTTAAAATCAACTAGCAAAAATAGTGCTCTCATCTAGGTGGTGGTAAGAAATTAAATCATTTTGGGTCAAATGGGTTAATCCACGTTGCTACGACTAAATAATAAAATTAAAAAATAGAAATTAAAAAAATGGGAGCATTTTTAACATACATATTAAACAATAATAAGTATGATAAATAAGAAATCTTTTTATTAATGATGGAAATTGAATGTAAAATTTAAAATCAATTGGAAATAAAAATATTTTCCTATTGTCTCTCATTAAATCATATATTTAAGATATATTTTTCTCATCCTTAAATTCTTGTAATTAAATCGATTTGTCTCTTATAGTCATCTCTCTCTCTCCCTCCCTCCCTCCCTCTATTGTTCTCCCTCAATCTTTCTCATTCTTCTCCCCCACTCTCCCTCTCGGTCAATATTTCCATATTCCTCAATCTTTATCATTCTTCAGTTGGTGCAAATTTCATAGTCAAGAGCTTATTGTGAATTTTTATCAAATTGGTATAATAATTTTTGAATCATACCAAGTTGGTTTCATGTTCTTTTATACAATCCGATTAATACCATATAAGTGTGTAAGAAAATAAAACAAATGAGAGAGGGAGTGGGAGGGAAATTAAGGGAAAAGAAGAGATCAACCAAGAAAGAGAATGAGAGAGATTGAGGAAGAACAATAGGTAGAGAGAGAGAATGAGAGAAATTGATACAGAGAACATAAATACAAAAACAAAAAACCATTTTTATTTATTATCAAATCACATAGTCGTTGAACAGATAAAGATGACTATGAGTGAGATGGTGTGAGGGAGATTGAGAGAGAGAGAGAGAGTAAAAACCTTTTTTTTTTCAATTGCCCAACATTAAATGGAAATTTTAGTATAAACTTTTTGTTGTGTCCGACATGGATTAAGAGTCCCATGTTGGAAATAGCCACATAAGCCTTCGATGACATGGCGAGGGTTATGTAGAGCCGGTTATCAGAGTTATATTGGTTTATGGACCAACTTGTAGCCTAATTTTAAATGTACAGCCGACTCTGACTATAATTTTCCCGAATTTAAAACTAATCCAAAAGCAATGCTATTTTGTTATCTAGATGGTGGGTCAATGGTCCAATTTTTCCAAGAAGCGCATGATGTCATAATTGAATAACAAATATTTAAGTTTATTTTTAGTCATATTGTTACTTTTGTTAATTTTCAATTTCTATCTTAACTATGATATATCTAAAATTCAAGTAATTAATATGGATAAAATTTTCTCACATGCAATGCATGTGCTTAATTACTGTTATATATAAAAGAAGAAAAAGAAATAAGAAAAAAATAGATACATACCTATGCTCCAAACCCTTGCAAATCGAACTTGAAGAAAGCAAGGATTTAAAAACCGACTCAGACAACGAATTGGTTAGGGGTCCGATTCCCAAGTCGAACGGTCTAATCGTTCGAACCAAACGGACAACCCATTCTAACAAAAAAAAAAGGCCAAACCATTGAACGGTTCAAATGCCCGAGCTAGCTATTTATTGACCAAATCAACAGTTTTGGGGGGAAATAACGGTTATGGGGTAAAACGGAACCGATCACCCGACTAGTTCTTGATTTTTTCTGGTCTGGTTCGGTGTGAATGAGAATGGGTAAAGGTAAACTTGTCTGAACATGCACTACAAGAAAAATCACTTTTAAAGGCAGTAACTACCGCTAGCAATAGTCGACAAACTACCGCTAAAACAACTATCGTTGTTAGACGTTTACCCATGTTCTTTTATTTCCCATGTAAATGAGGCAATGATTATTTTAGTCATAAAAATCTATTATTAAAAGAGGTATTTTTGTTCAATTCAAATGTTGGCAAGTTTTCCCCCCGGTGGAAAAGTTATTTACCCACTTAGAAGATGAATATTACTTAATCAGGTAAATAATACTCAAAAAAAATATTTCCTAATCCCTATATAAATTTAAAAATAAAAAATGAAATTCTTAATCAACGGGAATTAAAATCACATTTACCACTTTTCTTCCCTACAAAAACTACGCCCCTAAAAGTTTAATTGTGTTAAAAAATTAAAACCTCGGATTAACATAGGATTGACCTCAACCCGACCTAACCCGGATCGACTTCAACACGTAAACATAAAACCACAGAATGAGAATTGATATAATCAGTTCAGTTCTATCGGATAGACCCGATTCATTGGCAGCTATAAATCCTAGACGAAATCTTGGTACACCTGTGAACCATTGAACGAGTCCGACTATTGCCATGAAGATCATCAAGATTTGGAATAAACGGTGATAATTGTCCCAACGCTAAATCTTTTATCATTGGAGGAGATCCCTCGTTTCGAGACCTAATTGGTCCATGTCATCACTGATGACACGTTCTTTCGCTTGCTTGCTTTAAATTTGACTGAGCATTCCCTTTTAAGGCCCATCCGCCCATTCCATTCTTCTGCGCTTCAGCTGCAACAACACTCAACGACTCGTGAACACAGAGAAAAACACAGACGGACGAGCGAGAGAGAACTTAGATCTGCTTCAAAATTTGGTCATCTGGTTCCAACCAAAATACCCTAGGCGTTCAAGCCATGGATGGCGTGTGGAAAAAACGCGGTTCTTTGATCGTCTTAGGAATTGTTCTGTTCGGTAAGAGTTCGTCTCTATTGATGATTTTGATCTGATTTTTCTTCTTCACTAAAGTTGTATTTATTAGTTTTGTTTTTTTTTTTTTGCTTTTGTTTTTTTAACGGAGAAAGTTGCAGTTGAATGCTCTATTTATTTGTTGTTTTAGTTATAAAAGTTTCAGGAATGGGTTTTTTTAACAGAAAGTTTGCTTATCTACTCTGATTGCTACTGGTTTTGAATGACTAATTGAAGTATCCGCTGGATCAATAGTTAAGATTGAAGCTCTAGATATTTACTGAGTGAATGATAGCTTCTCTGGCTGCTTTCCATCTCCGGTTGGGTTGTATCTAATGCGGTTTTACCTTTTTTTCTTCATTTTGGAATATGAATTCGCAAATGCGTAAAGCATGGCAAGTAGCAATTATTTAATTACCTACATGCTTTTGATGGGAGGCTATATAGATCTATTTGCATTTAGTGATTTTGTTGTGTTTATGGGGTAAATTTGAGAATTTCTCGAATATAAACGTCATTTCTGATAAGTTTATAGAAAGCCATTTTCCCTCTCCTTGGACGTTTACAAAGCGTACAGGTCATGTAGAATGAAAAGATTCGAAGATTGAGTATTTCAAAATTCAAAATGTCAGCTCCATTGTTTCCCTCCAATGCTCAAGCAATTCATTATAATTTACTCTGCGAAATTTGTCTAATTGTCTTTGTCTCTTTGCCACAGTAGTCAGATCTCTTTAGGAATTGAAAAGGATACAGTTCCTAGAGACTTTGATCACTTTGGCCCTGTTTGGGCGTCATGTGGAATAGGAATCATTTTCTTATCACTTTTTGCATGATATTTTGGTTTACTTAATTATTATCGGAAAATGGTTCTTTGCCGGGTTGTTATGGGAAGTTGCAAAGGAGTTGTTCTTTCAGATATTTCCTTGCCAACATTACATCGATCCATTCTGGTTGGTGAAATTTTGCTTCAAATAACTAGGAAAACCACAATAGCATTATTTTGTTTTCACGTGGCACCTATTAGAACTTTAATCTTGGCGCATTATAGGACATTTAATTTCCTCCAAGAAACGCCATGAAACTAGAAGCATTTTATTTCATCCGTGTTTGGAACACGGCATTGGTCTTGTGACATTTTAGGACACTTTGTCTCCAAATTACATCTTGCAACCCCTACTTTGGCTTTCGGGTTGGTCGGAGTGATGTTTTCTGGATCTACAGATCTAGCTAGTGTGCTATGCACGAGGCTTTGGACTAATTCCAAAAGTCATGGCACAAATAAACCATGACCAGAGGATTTGATTATATATTTCCTCGCTTTCAAGTCTTATCTCGTGATTCCTTGTCTGCTTGGTTAAGAATGAATTAAGCAGCTTAAGGTTCTATCCTTTTGCCAAACTTGTTATAAGTGATACCATGTATATTGTTTTTATGTAATAGAATTGTTAACCTTCTACTTTTATCTTCCCTCTATAGTTGAGCCTGCATGTTACAACTGAACTTTGGGTGGTTGTATTTTGTTTCACTTTCTTGATTTGTTCAGACCGAACTTTGCAATTTATATTTCTAAAAGCATGGATTAATGTTCCAAAGAATTTATTTACAGGATGCCTGTCAGCCTTTGCTATAGCAAAAGAAGAAGCTACCAAATTAGGAACAGTCATTGGGATAGACCTTGGTACAACCTACTCTTGTGTTGGTGTCTACAAGAATGGTCATGTGGAAATCATAGCCAATGACCAAGGAAACCGTATCACTCCATCTTGGGTTGCGTTCACTGACAGTGAGAGATTGATCGGTGAGGCAGCAAAGAATCAGGCGGCTGTGAATGCCGAGAGGACCATCTTTGACGTCAAAAGACTCATTGGAAGAAAGTAAATCTYTTTCTCTAGTTCATTCTTTAATTTTCCAATTTTGTGGGAAAATATGCTTCTGGAGGCACTAATCTATCTATTGGCAGGTTTGAAGACAAAGAGGTTCAGAAGGACATGAAGCTTGTTCCATATAAGATTGTGAACAAGGATGGGAAACCTTACATACAAGTCAAGATCAAGGATGGGGAAACGAAGGTCTTCAGTCCTGAGGAGATCAGTGCTATGGTTCTTRTTAAAATGAAGGAGACAGCTGAAGCATTCCTTGGAAAGAAGATCAAGGATGCAGTTGTTACCGTTCCGGGTAARGTTCTATTCTAGCTGTGGATTCTTCCACCATTAAGAAAACACGTGTAGTTGATGCTTCTTGGAATTTGAACTCTTTTRTGGTTTTATGCACTTTGCAGCATACTTCAATGATGCCCAAAGGCAGGCTACAAAGGATGCTGGTATTATTGCTGGACTCAATGTTGCMAGAATAATCAACGAACCAACCGCGGCAGCCATTGCCTATGGCTTGGACAAGAAGGGTGGAGAGAAGAACATCCTTGTGTTTGACCTTGGTGGTGGGACATTTGATGTCAGTATTTTGACAATTGACAATGGTGTCTTTGAGGTTCTCGCCACAAATGGAGACACTCACCTTGGAGGTYAGAACTCTGCTGCTTCATACCCAGTAGTAGTACTAGTAGTTTGCATTCCCYAACAGTTTTAGTATTTAAAACGTTATCTTTTCCTAATAGATGGRGGACTATATAGGAAAGATAACAGTCRACAATGTAAATTGTATCATGCACATCCATTCCAAAGAAAAAAGAACGTAAATATTTTGAATAAAATTTTGATACTAAACTCATTTTTATTTTTTATGTTAATTAATTTTATTACTAAGCACCATTTATTTCATGCATATCAATATATTGTGATAATCAACTTTTTTTTTGGTTTACCATCTTCAGGTGAGGATTTTGACCAGAGAATTATGGAATATTTCATCAAATTGATCAAGAAGAAGCATAACAAAGACATCAGCAAAGACAACAGGGCTCTTGGGAAGCTGAGGAGGGAGTGTGAACGTGCCAAGAGAGCTTTGAGTAGTCAGCACCAGGTCCGAGTGGAGATTGAATCTCTCTATGAAGGCTTGGATTTCTCAGAACCCTTGACCCGAGCTCGGTTTGAAGAACTGAACAATGATCTCTTCAGAAAGACCATGGGCCCTGTGAAGAAGGCAATGGAAGATGCTGGATTGGAGAAGCACCAAATTGATGAAATTGTTCTTGTTGGTGGTAGTACCAGGATTCCTAAGGTCCAGCAGCTTCTAAAGGATTACTTCGATGGTAAGGAGCCTAAYAAGGGTGTGAACCCAGATGAAGCTGTTGCCTATGGTGCTGCCGTACAGGGAAGCATCTTGAGTGGAGAGGGTGGTGACGAGACTAAAGGTATTGTCTCTGTTCATGCTTTTCATTTGGATATTTGTCTTATTTTCWTTAAATTAGTTATCAAATTTGTCACTGGTAGGATAAAGGTATGTTTCAATTCATTGCCCTTTGTCAATTATGAAATGCTTTACGGCCTCTTTGATGCAGATATTCTTCTCTTGGATGTTGCTCCTCTTACTCTTGGTATTGAAACTGTGGGTGGAGTGATGACAAAGTTAATTCCCAGGAACACTGTTATCCCAACTAAGAAATCTCAAGTTTTCACTACATATCAGGATCAACAGACCACGGTCTCTATTCAGGTAAMCGAAATATTCATGGTGAAATCTTTCCATCAGCTGGGAAATATGCCTAGTAATTGACCATTATTAGTCYTTAGTCAYGACCTATTCGGTTATATTGTGTTATAACTTGCATTATTTGATTTATTTTCAGGTTTTTGAAGGTGAAAGGAGTCTTACCAAGGACTGCAGAATGCTAGGGAAGTTTGATTTATCTGGCATTCCTCCTGCACCAAGGTTGGTTTATTATTCTATTTTTTTGTTCTCCCATAAGTCTCTTGTTAAGGATTTCCCTTTTTCTACAATTGCATTGCACCGACATGATTAAAGAGTCCATCTACTTGCTTGAACAGGGGTACTCCTCAGATTGAAGTTACATTTGAGGTTGATGCCAATGGTATCYTAAACGTCAAGGCTGAAGACAAGGGAACAGGCCGCTCTGAGAAGATTACCATCACCAATGACAAGGGTAGGCTGAGCCAGGAAGAGATTGAACGGATGGTCCGAGAGGCAGAGGAATTCGCGGAGGAAGACAAGAAGGTGAAGGAGAAGATTGATGCCCGTAACAGCTTGGAGACTTACATATATAACTTGAAGAACCAGATCAGCGACAAGGACAAGCTCGCTGACAAGCTGGAGTCCGAGGAGAAGGACAAGATCGAGACAGCAGTGAAGGAGGCCCTTGAGTGGCTGGATGACAATCAGAGCGCCGAGAAGGAGGATTATGATGAAAAGCTTAAAGAGGTGGAGGCTGTGTGCAACCCAATCATCGCGGCTGTCTACCAGAGAACTGGTGGAGCCCCTGGTGGTGCATCAGATGGAGGGGATGATGACTCACATGATGAGCTTTAAAAATAATTTGATTTTGTTTGACTTGCATGGATTCTGAGATAGTTCACTGTAGAAAGCCTGGTAATTTTACTTTTTTTTTTTTCTTTTGTGGGTTAAAAAGGGAAAAGAAAACTGTTAATTGGAGAGTTACTGTAAGTTTCAAATGGTTGAGGGCGGGAATAGGGAAGAAAGATCATAAAGAGGGGAAACAAACACACTGGACTCCCCTGTGATTGGTTGTATTCTCCTTGGAATTTTTGTAATTTTGTGCCAGGTTTTGTCTTTTAATTTTTGCATTTTTCGGTATATGCTAAAACGATTCGTAATTTTAAGTGTTAGATGTTATAATTGTTGATTAATATGATACTTAGTTGTCCGAGGCCCACTGATTGTGTTGATTGTGTTGACCCATCGTCTTTGGGGAAGCAGCGCAGCACTTCAAGTTTTTAACCTTCCATGGTGCCTAAACTCTGCACCAGCTGCTTGACTGGAGGAATTTTTTAATCATCTGAAATTGTGAGATTGTTGATGCACACGGCATTGCATATTTGCAACACTAAAAAGCTTGATTATCAATCACAGGCCACAGCTTTCATGGTAAAAGCCGCAAACCCAGCAATAGTCGTATAAGTTGATGCCCAAACCTTTTCAATTCATCCATCCTAAACCGGGGCTGTAGTATTGCCCGCTTCTGTAGCTTTTGAGTTCTACACTTTTACTAGGTCTGATGCATGCGGAGGACCTTCATTATTCACTAACATTTGTATAATTGCATCTGCATTTTGTTTCGTAAGAAATCTATCAATGTCTTCCACCAACTGATGCATTCTTTGAGGAATTATTACTAATCAAAATTTTTTGGTAAAAGTAGTAATGAATGAGATTAAGGCTCTTTGGAAGTAGTACAAATGCAAATATGTACAGCGTAAATACATATAAAATAATACAAAATATAAGATTTTGCATTCTACATATTTTACATTTGTATTCCTTCCAAACTCAGCCTAAGGAAAGTAATCCTTGAAATAGTAATCTTTTCATGACTTTTACCCATAAAATAATAAATATAATATTTTATATCATTCATCAAATTTATTTTATACATATGTATTATAGTGTTATATTATAATATTTATGTATAAAACACAAAATATACCATAAATAACATATATAAAAATGTATACATATCTATGGACCGGGCATTAAGTATTGGGACCAGGTCTGGCCCCAAAAATGTACAGGCCTGTGCAGCCCAAGGCCCAGGCCCGACCCAGAATTTCTAGGTTGGTTCCGGGTCGGGTTTAACATGATCACCTCTAAAGGCTAAAAACCTTTTAAAACTCAAACCTAGAAAGTCTATGTGTCTCATCGTTCCCTTAATTTCAGTGGAAATATAATGTTTAGAAATATAATATACATATTCGCATTTCTAATTTTGTATTTTCCCAAATACAAATATGTAGAGTTCTTGGGTAGAAAAAAAAATGGCACATTGAAGGAAATTGGCTCTTTTGTCATTTTAAAGTTTAAATGCGATTAGAAGGACATGGATTAAATCCAAATCCAATCTGAAATTCGATGTGGGACTCGGATTGAATTTGAATTTAAAGGTTTGATATCCATATTGGATGCAGATAAATATAGATGGATCCTATAAGAATCTGATCCAATTACAACTCCATTCACAAAGTGAAATGCTAAGTTATTTGCATTGGGGATGCATGTAGGGCAGATTGAGTCGGGTTTATGGTAAATCCGGGCTCAATCCTAAAATTTGGGCTTAGAGCCCGAGCCCAAGGTTAAGTCTGATCTTCTCAATCCAAGCCTAGCCTGAATTGTAATTGATGCGTGTATATATTATATGCAAAAACATATAGATGTATGAATATGTATATTTGGACCGATCTCGGGTTGGGTTTGGACTACCTAAGGGCTATGCTTAGGCCTGGCCCAAAAAAAATCTGACTTCATGGGGCCGAGCTCAGTACGAGAACTGAAAATCCAAGTCTAATCCATATAAAATTTTGGGCTGAGCCAGTTTGGGCTAGGCTGGGCCCGCCCAAGTTGCACCCCTAATTTGCATCCTTCCTAAAATGAGTAAAGATGTAATCATATGATATCAATCCTAAGGTGAAGGTGATGACTAATGTGATATAGAAGACATTTCTTTCCACAAAATAGCCATTCATTACTTGACATAAATTTACAACCGTGGCCTTTAGCCCAAAAAATATTCAGTCATCCACTCCGGAGGCATACCGTTGAATGCTAAAGATTTCCTTTGTATACATGTTTTGCTAGCCATCAATGTGAGGTCAGAAGACAATTGGAGGTTAGATTAGATTTCTTTTTTCCTTTTTTTATATGTGGGGGATTTCAAGTTTCAACTTCGACGTCGAAAAGACATAATACCGATAAACAATCAATCGGTATCATAAAAAGTGATAACTAAAGGAGTGGTTGTTTATTTAAAATGTGGTCATAAAAATTGATCAAATTATGAAATTTTTGGGGATTTAAAAAATTATTTACTTTCTTGGGTTTCAAGCTAAAACAAGATACCGAACTGAATTTTCAATTAAAAATCCTGTGCTATCTCATTAATGTTCTTTCGGATAAATAACTCAATATATTCATACTTGTTAAAGAATGGATACAAAAGAGAACTCTTAAAATGCTAAGTTGGAGATGAACATGTCAAATGTACAAACATTTTTTACAATTTTAAAACAAAAATAAAAACTAAAAAAACTAGAAGTATAAATGGTTATTAATTATCGGCTAAATCGCCAATACAAGGTTGAGTAAATAGGCATGGGGATGGACTGAAATGCTGTAACTGTGAGATTCGACACATAACTAAGTTGTTACTTCCCCATTTGTATCCGATCACCGGTCTACAGTACTTAAAAAACTAATGAACTCACTTTAAGTATATAGTTATAGATCTCTTTTAACACCTGCAAGAGCACATATTTAAGCCTAATGCCCCCAACTAATCGCCAAATCACTAGTCTAAGCCTAGGATATATACCCATCATAGGATACATAAACAATAGAAGGATTAATGAAACTTAAGAAAAAGTTTCATTTTTTTGTTTGTCATTCGGTCATTCCCCTGAATCAAAAAACCATAAACCATGGTGTATTCAGTCTCTCTCTCTCTCTTTCCTTCCATCCATTTTTCCCCATCACAAAATGTATAGATTACAAAATCACATTTCTTTTTGTCTGTCATCTCCATATACCCTTCCCCACCTCCACCTCCCTCCCCCTCTCTTTTCATCTCTCTCCTCCTGCCCATCCTCTTATAAACTGCATTACAAAACCATCTCCCAATCCAGCAAACTTTTTTTGAAGCACAAAGAAAAACTCCTCTTTCTCATCCCTCTCCGCATTAATTGTGAAAAATTTAGAAAAAGTAGAATAAATCCCTTATATTCAAATAAAATAAGGGAAATGTAAGAAATTAAAATAAAATAATCAACAATTGAACTTTCTTGGTAAGATATTTGAACTATTGAAGTATAAGTAATCGATTTAATGTATAGTAGCTAAAATTTCAGCTGAGTTGGTTTAGCATAACCCTTCAGATGAATTATTGTAAAAATAATAGTATAAGAAGACAAAATGGAACTATAAGAAGGCAGAATGGAACTATATTGAGAGTAGATTTGGCTTCACAAAACATGGTTTATAGATATCTATATGGGGACCACCTTGCCAAGTTAGAAGCCATTAAGCTTTGCCTCCGCCTCTAGTAACGCCGCCACCTCCGTCTACCTTCGCCTCCGCCTCTAGCAACGCTACTGAAAATGAGTGGAGAGAGAGATGGTAGTGATGGCGAGTAGAGGAATGATCACCAGCGCCGCTGCTGTCACCTTTGCCTCTGGCCACCTTCGGCAACGTTGCCGGAGGCGGAGGCAGAGGTGGGCGAAGGCGGCGGCGGGCGGCGATTCTAGTGCATAAACAGTATTTTTACCCTTTATTAATATTATTTTTAAAAATTTAATTTATTTTTGAAAATTTTTAAATATATTATTTTTATTAATATTAAATCCTAAAAATTGCCCTTATATACTATAATCTTTAGGTTATGCTTGGTTTGAAGAAAAAGTTAGGGAAAGATTAGAAAATCCATATAAAGTTTGTAAAGATTTTCTTTCTTTTCCGTACTTTTTCCTTCGAACCAAACGTAGCGTTAGGGTTTGGTTTTGAATCCCCTGCAATTTTAAGGTTTATTAATGTTTTGTTGTTCTGCTTTGTGCGAGGGTTATCAATGACAGTGGTTGTGTTCCTTTGAACAGCTGGGTGGGTGGGACAACATTTGGGTTTTCTCAGCTGCCCATTGTCTTGTTTGGTGGCTTCTTTTTTAATTTTTTTATTATTTCTGAAATCTTGTTCTTTCTACCTAGGAGAGATGGGTATGCAGTCGATGGTCGCTACAGTTGTGGTTGGGTGTGCTTTTATGGTTCCGTTTCAGTTGTGCTTTTATCGGTAGTTGTTACAGATCTATGATAGCAACCGTCGTCCGTTTTAGTTGCAGCTATGGTTCTCTCATTTTTTGTCCTTTTTTTTGCTGATTTTTCTAGAATTTCTTTTGCAGGTTCGGATTTTATTTGAGTTTGTGTTTTGCTAAGAACTATCTATAGTGGGCATTCTCAAGATCATTGTCTCTTTCTCTCTCTCTCGATTTCTCTACTCAACAGTATCGCATTTCATTTTCTCTACTCAATAGTTTCTGTTGATTTTTGTAGGGTTCTAACTGACGTTGCTTTTTTCAGGTTTGGATTTTCCTTGCTCAAGTTTTGTTAGAAGAGTTTTAGTTATTTTAAGGGCTACAAATCAATATCAATCTTCAATGAAAGGGAACGACAATGTTTTCCTCTATCTGTTGCAGGACATGATCACTGTTTTCCTTGGGTTAGCAAAGAACAAATAGGCAATGCTTTCTTTTGTTTGTTTGTTTGTCTTTCTCTTTATTTTTTATATGAGTTTAAAGATTTTTTGAAATTTCTTAGTAATAGAAAAAATCAATTAAATTCGAGGGAAGAATAAATGAAAAATGGCTTGCAAATCCTGTAATTCTCCACGGTTGTGGGCTTTCTGGTTTTATGAAAAATGCCTATTTTTTATGATTTCCATTTAATCTAATTTCTCGTTTTAAGTTTGTTAAGAGAAAATGGAAAAAAAAAAGATCAATATTAACTGTTTAATACGGTCTTCAATATCATTCCATGTTTTGTATTTGTTGTGCTTGATTTTTCTCAGTTTTTGGTTACTTTTCTTATTTTTGACGAATACGATGTTTTCATTTGTTGTTTTTATAAGGTGAAAT